CACGTCCACGCGCATAACTGCGGCATCGCGACGCTTGACTGCCGAGTACTAGGCACGCGTGCGCGTTACTGGGCGCGCGGACGCTTCCTGTGTACTTGTTGGGCCTGCCGGATGCGCCTGCGCGCACACTGCGCGCGGTAGGTATCACGGTCGGCATTTCGCCGGCCGTCCGACTACTTTTTCCGGCAATCCACATATGACTGACCATGTTTTGACGTAAAATGACTGAAAATACATAGATTACTCAGGAATTGCAGGTTTTATTTTGAAATCACTCGAACGGAGCTTATATAGCACCTCCGAGGCCATTTTGCTAGAAGAACTTGGACCGAACAACATGACTTTGACATGATCTTCTTAAAATGAACTTAACTACATAAAAAGAGGGTAAATAAGTGTATACCCTTCAGTTCGGACGGTAGTTGCACGGTGGCTTGCGAGAGCTTGCACGGTGCATACGGTGGTGTGCGTACACTTCCTTTATCCTCGACTATCCTTAGGGATTTTTGTATGATTTTTCTCCAACGTTTCCTCACTATTTTTCTCTCAGATTTTAAGCTGAAGTTTGGCTTGTTTTGTACGAAATTGCATGGGAAAAACTCATGCATTTTACCTTATTAAATAATGGAGACGGATGGAGGTGAATTTGGGGCCAAACACTTATTGGTCCACTTGCTTTTACCACACGAATTGGTGGCAATATGGCTGCATTGTCATCACCCTATGTGGCATGAAAAGCGCTAGGTGACGTCCTATGCATGGGCTTAGTCACCACTTGTAGCTTCATGTGGTGCCATGTGTACCAAGCAAGTAGTGACCCATGATCACCACTTGCACCCAACGTTTATCTTGGGTAAATTTCTCACGGCATCACTAAGGAGTTGGAAACTAGATTACTTAACTTGATCGTAGTGTTTAGCTTAGCGTAAGCTAATGACGGGCGATAGCTTGGCACCGTGCGTGTGTTACGCGCGGCAACGTGCATTGTGCACGGCTGCACATGCGCGTAAACATTCGGTCACGCACCATGATGCATGACTTGCGTGCGTGAATGATGTGCATGTCCGAGACTTAGCTTAATTTCGATTTGAACTTAATTCCGAACATTCTTGACTATTAATAATTAATCCCAATTAATAATATCCGTTTATAAAATAAACGGTTCGGAAATTAATTATCGAACTTTGACTCGGTTAATAATTAACCGGATAAACTTTTCGACTTAACATCGAACGCATTTGCTGAAAATGAACGAATTAATAAAAGATAATACATCATTTACATTAACAAGAAGTTGGGTTATTACATCGAGAATTATGCAAACGTTACTTTTCTGATAAAATTGGATGTTGTATATATAACATAAACGTTAATATATTCATTCAAATAAATTTGCTAGAATAAAAGATAATCTTAAAAAACTATATAATGCAATTAATGCTTTTTTTTTATATTTAAAATGATTTAGATTATTATCATTTATAGTATGTAATTAATGTTTTTTTTATTTGTTTTTTTTATTTGTTTATTTTATTTTATTTTATTTTATTTTTGCGTGAAATGCTTTCTAAAAGTGAATTAACCTTATTCTTATTTTATATATGTAGATGCGGTGGATGGAGTTGGGACTTGTGACATTCGTTTTGCTAATATGTATTTGTTTACAAATGTGTATTGACACGTTTTATGTGGTTTTACACAAATTAATTTTTATGTATAATTTCCAACAAATTAATTTACGCTACATTAGTTACGTGTTAACCACATATTTTCTTTATATATTTATTTAATATTTTATATCCGTGCATAGTACGTGATCCAAACTAGTTCAATAATAAATTAACAATGTAAATTTCGACAAATCAGAGGTTTGAAACTAATTAAAGGTTTGATTAGTCATATCTTCTATTTGAGATGTCATGTAATAGTCACATTTTTTCAACTTGGACCGGCCTTGAACCGAGATCGGTCCAGGGGGGTGTTTCGTACCGAGTGACTTCGGACCCAGTCAAACCCAGTCAATATGGCCTTGACTTTACTGGGTTAACCGATTCTTTGTTCTTATATTTATATTTTTATTTTTAAAGTACTTTTTATTATAAAAATAAAACAATGTATAAATATTTATATGGTAAATTCTATTATAAAATAAAATATTGTCACTTTGAGATAAAAAATTCATATACAAAACGTTACTTTTTATGTATACCTATATGATAAAAACTAGGAGAGGCTCTGAACCTGTTAGCTCAACCAGTAGACGGTGTTAAAGCAAATACATTTCGTGCTTTTAACCCAAATCAAACCGAAATATGCTATATATAATTTTAGAATTTAAAATTAGTTGTTCCGTTCAACAATTGACTCGGTTCTCCCCGCAATTTAAAATTATTTGTGTGTCTTTTCTTTTTCTTTTTCTTTTTCCACAATATTTTCCACTTATGAGTTATCACTAAAACCCCCAACACTATCCACAGCTCAATCCAAAGTTGCAAACTTGCAATTGGACATGGCGGCTACATTCCTCGGATTAGCCAAACCACCCTCTTTTTCACTTCCAACCATAACCACTGCCCTTTCCTTCTGCAGCAACAGGCCCAAGTTCGTGGCTCAAACGCGCAGGTTATTTACCCGCACAGCAAATTCACGAACCGTGTGTTTATCTAGCCAGCCGAGGAAGTGCTTTTCCCGCAGGTTTGCAGTTCCCGGCGCCTCCACGTCCGTCCCTGAAACCGAAGATTGTGATGTCGAGACTAAAATCCCACCTGATAATAGAATCCCGGCTACTATTATAACTGGTTTCTTGGGTTCTGGGAAGGTAATTTCATTAAATTTTAATCGTTGGGGTTTAGGGTTTGAGCTTAAAAAATGTTGATTAATGGCAGTTTTTTTCTGGGTTCGGTTGGAATTGTGTTATTTTAATGTCTTTGATACTTGGAAAGTTAATGGCTGTTGTAAATTGATGATTTGGTTTGGGATTGGTTAGTTCTGTTTTGTAAATTGATCTCTACCATCAGAGAAATTTGTAAAAATGGCTGTTGTAATTGATTGGAACTGATGTTGAAGGTGTCCAAGACTTCTTCATTATTCGACTTTTTTTTTTTTCCTTTTCACAACAGAGTAATGGCTTTTGGTAGCTGGTTTGTCGATTATCAGCTATAATCAGAATTAAATGTTGAGTTGGACCTAGTTAATTTCCAACTTCATCATTTTCATGTTATTTGGTCTGTTAGTTGTACTGCAGATGATGCCATTTTGCTATAATCATGGTGTTTTGGTGTAAAGGTGTGATCTTGCTGACCGTTGAATGGAATTTAGTTTTAATAATGGAATTGAGTTTGATTAAAACGAGCAAATGACACTAGAATATGCATTTTATGTGTCTATAGAAAGCAAATGACTTGTGTTGTCTATTACTACAGCCAATATGAAAGGATGAAATACACGTGGGGTGTTATAAGAACTAGCATCATGTTGAAGATTATATCCTGAGTTTCTTTCCCCCAATTGGTTAACCATTGTTAGAAATTTTTCGACAATTATAAACTTTGCGTTAGATGTTGAGTATCAGAAAGATAATGACAAAGCTGGAGCCTTTGTTCTTTTGGTCAATCGTCATTACTTATTTCTGCCGATTTTTTGGCATTCTGTAAAGGCAGTTTACTGCAGATTCTTTTATGTTATGCGTAAAATATTGTTGTCCTTGTATTTGACATTTGACTGATGGAGTTGCAGACAACCTTGTTGAACCACATCTTGACAGCTGATCATGGGAAACGCATTGCAGTCATTGAAAATGAGGTATGTTATACAGTTGGTACATAAGTTGTCATGTCTTATTTTCTCTCTTATGTTTTACCTTTTGGCCTTTAAAGTGATTGGAAATAGAGATGCCTAGTTTCCGCTTGTGGAAATTCTCACCTCTATTGATCTTCATGAATCTTTCGTGGGATCAGTTTAATTTTAAGCAAACAACAACAACAACAACAACAACAACAACATAGCTTTTTAGTCCCAAACAAAAGTTTTATTTTAAGCAAACAACAACAACAACAACAACATCAGTTTTATTTTAAGCATGCAATTGTTTTGTTAAATTCAACTATATTTAGTCGTTTGTTGCTTTCTTGGTTTATCAGTTTGGTGAAGTTGACATTGATGGCTCCTTAGTTGCCGCAAAATCTGCCGGAGCTGAGGACATTGTAATGCTCAACAATGGGTGTCTGTGTTGTACCGTGAGGGGTGATCTTGTCCGGATGATTTCGGAACTTGTCAATCGGAAGAAAGGGAAATTCGATCACATTGTTATCGAGACAACTGGTAAAAAAAAATTGCTGGTCACATAATGTTTTCACATCATAAATCGGGCATTTTCATGTCCTTTCCTATCTTATTTTGAGTGTATAATTCAGTTAATGAATGTTTATAAATGCCAATGCCTTTGCTGACCCTTGCTGTTCTTCATTGTCCAGGACTGGCTAATCCTGCCCCAATAATTCAGACATTTTATTCCGAAGATCAGGTTTTTAATGATGTTAAACTTGATGGCGTGGTCACACTTGTCGATGCTAAACATGTGGGTTTTCACCTTGATGAAGTTAAGCCCAAAGGTGTGGTCAATGAGGCAGTCGAGCAAATTGCTTATGCTGACCGCATTATTGTAAACAAGGTAAGCTATTTAATACCTTAATTTATTGAATGTATGTAAGGATGTAAAATGTTTTGTTTTTCAATTACTATTATTATTATTAGTGAAACTGATCTATTTAATTGACTAATAAGTAATAACCTGGCATTTTGATAACAGACTGATCTTGTTCGTGAACCTGAGGTTGCTTCAGTAATTGAAAGGATAAAGGTATAACTTTCCCCGAATTTGGACTTCTATCTTCCCTATGGATTCTACTATTGAACAGTTTTTCCTGTGATGCAGAGCATAAATCGTATGGCTCAACTAAAACGGACACAATTTGGAAGCGTTGAGTTGGATTATGTTCTCGGTATTGGAGGCTTTGATTTGGAAAGGTTCATTCTCAATTCTATCTTTATGGAGTTTTTTATCCTCCCTCATTAGTCTCCGTAGTTGAATTGATTTGGATTAGACGACAGTTGATAGTGGGTAGCTGTTAACTAATTTCAAAGCAAATGCTTGATAAATTGGCTGACAAGAATAGCTGATTACATAGGTTATTAAATGTTTATTAACAGAAACACGATTTAAAAATATAAATTAGCATATAAAAATTACTATTTATTAATTAATGTAGAGAAATAAAAAAATGCCAAATAATAGTATTAACCTCACAAAATGAAACCGAAGATTTCCATGGAACCTAGTACCAAAAAGACCTCCGACCTGTTGGAATGAGCTGAAAACACCTGGAACTCGAACGAACAGCCGGTTGAACGTCCTCGAACTTGTAGAGCTCTCACACCGGAGGGGGACTCCGGTGAATAGCCTCTTAAGTCAGTATATGTAGGGGATAAAGTGTAAAGAAGAAACTCTCTGAAAAATGCTAAGTATAATAGAGAATATAACTTGTGTTTTGTCATACCTCACTCCGAGAAGATACCTTAGGGCCCAAGTCGGGTGTGTGAGCTCTCAACCCACGAGCGCGTGAGCTACCCCTATTGTCAGTACTGTCAGAGCCGTATGGGCAGTCAGAGGTGGTTATCAGGCGTGGACCACTCAAGCGATGCTACGTGGTTTCACCCGGGGTGATGCCCCTAAGATTCCTTCTTATCTCTAAGCTCTCCTCATTAAGTGTCCTAATTACAGCCTTGATCTCCTTTGTCTTCGAGTAAAGTGTCATCGTGAGCTCCAATGTCTTGCCTTTCTAGTCGATCATTCGACCAGATCTCCCTTTCTTTTGACCTTCGACCAGTTTCTCCGAGGGTCTTCATTTGACCTCCTCGGGTTTCCTAAGCTTCTATACTTTCTTCGACCAGGGGGTCTATTGACCCGAGCGATCTTCTCTTCCTCTTCGACTTAATGATCAGGCCGGTTTGATCTGACTGCTTTCCGGATCTAGTCGACAAGGTATGGTTATCGCATATCAAAACCATATAGGTATATATAAGAAAACAAAAGTTAAATAAAAATATAATAAAAACTATATTTTTTTTCAACTATATAATATATTTATCCATGGAATAATCTATTTTTTTTTATAGTTAAGAAGGTAAAAGGTTTATAGCTAATCAGAATTAGATCCAATTCCTAGCTTTTTCGCAACACATAATTTTTTAGGCCTTATCAAAGACTTCATTGCCAATCATTTTACTAAACAATATTAAGGAGTTGATGCAGATATAGAAGTGCTATCAAATCCTTAAGTCTATGTTTGGTAACCAAATAAGTTAGCTATAGTTTATTTGGTTAGTTTATAAGTTTCTTGTATCAAATAAGCTTCGTTTGGTAGGACAAACTTTTTTAAAAATCTCGAGTTTATCTCATAAGCTTCTTTAGGTAGCTTTTCAACTAAGCCCATTGAAGTTTTTATTTTAGCTAGTTTATCAATTAATTTTATCAAACACTTTTATCATATAAGCTAGTTTTTAGATACAAGTAATAAGCTGTAAGCTTGAAAATCTCTTATAAGCTATAAGCTAGCTTATTAGCTAGTTTTACCTAACATAACCTAAGTCTGTTCAGCCAAAAGCCTCCTATTTTTTTTTTTTT